GCCGGGCTAAATGCAAATTTTTGCCCGCCTTAATTCAACCAAAGTAAGAATTTTTTATGCTGATAGCTTTTAAAATGTCAGCGAATTCGATTAACTGGACACACTACGGTGTAAGGTTTAAAAACTGACGGGTATTGTGTATATACGTTAGATGTTTGAAGATCAAATTTCGCGCGTCTGGAGTTAAAATTTGGCTCCAACTTTCGAATTTTCCGGCTGGAGGTAACATTCCAGTTATATTCCGATTTCAATGATGCGTAAATGCGTGATTAATAGTGCTCCAAGACGTGGAACAGATTTTAATTAGAAATGCCGAGATGTGCCGACTTAGGTCAGACTTATGTGCCGACTTAGGCCCTCTTTTGCCAACCTCAATTTTGACGGTTTTGACTTTTCGAGGGCTGCAAAATGGATGCTGACAAAGGAAAAAGGTCGCTTCGCGCAGAAAAATCCGCTAGTGGAAAACCGACTTAATAGAGGGTAATAAAGCGCATTTAAACATGCACATTTACTATAGATGGCCGTGAAGGGGTAAAATGGGAACTGGGATTGATCTATTTTTAGACTGGGAAAATGGGATTTGGGTTGCTGGGACTGGGATTTGGCCACTGGGAAATGAAGTCCTCAAAAATGGGAATGGGATTGAAGGAATGTGAGTCGATTCCCAATTTTGATCCGTTTTTGGTGTCTTTAGTCATGATTTTTGTTGTTAACTATATTATTCACAGCATTACCTGCGAACAGGCATACTCTGGCGCCTGGAATTTTGGGTTTTCTGATTATGCATGTGTCAGAATGATGCACATGCCATTTCCGGGATTCAAATTTAAAAATTTTCCGTGCCTTCGGCACGAGCCGCCCCCCCCCAATATTTCATAAAGTGTCCGCCACTTGCACACATGGTGGCTTAAAAGGTCTTAAAACTGTTTATTCTACCGATAAATAAATGTTTTTTATTGAATGGGATTTCAATAACTCGGACTGGGATTTCTAATAAAAATCCAACTGGGACTGGGATTTTGCCAAAATTTCAGGTGGAAAATGGGATTGGGACCCTCCCCCCCCCTTCAGGACCCTCACTATAGGCTAATGACTCGGCAAAATTACCAAACAACAGTCGGCAAAAGATCACTCACACCCCCCCACTCGAAGAGGGTTAGCGCCGCCCCTGACTGAAATATCGAAATTTAATACGTATGCGAGCAGGCTACCCATAGCAAAGACAGATAAGTAGTTTATGTCTGGAATTGTATTCTCTTCTACTTACTGGGGTTTCTTACTGAGATTTCACTCCAGTTATAAAGTGAGGTCATCGACGAGGGTAAAATATTTCAATTTCCGAAAATCAAAAGTAATTCAGGTGCAAAACGTTATATTCTTGACTTGCAACCAATCTCCTCCTGGTACACACCAGACAATGTTCCGATCGATAAAATCACAAAATAGACATGACATGGTATATCTATTCTGTGATAAAATATTCTTTTGTGCCATGCCATCTGACATGGCGGGTGACCAGGGACCGCGGAGACGGGGGGGGCTGGGGGAGCTTTAGCCCCCCCACTTTTTTTGACAGCCAAAATTATTAAAATAAAAATCTAAATGAAACTTTCTAAATTAATTAAACCTCACCCTTTAGCCCCCCCACTCTCTAATACGCTCCGCGGGCCCTGGTGACGTGCAAGTCAAGAATAGAGAAAATGTAAAAATCAGTCCAGTCCAACAGTCCAGTCCAGTCCAACAGTCCAGTCCAGTCCAACTGTCCAGTCCAGTCTGTCCAGTCCAGTCCAACTGTCCAGTCCAGTCCAGTCCAACTGTCCAGTCCAGTCCAGTCCAGTCCAGTCCATGTTTTGTACTATGCCGTCCGAATTACAGGATTTGAAATATTACGTCACGATCTTTCTTAACGGCCAGTTTATAATAGTTTATACCTGTAAAGTGTAAACCACATATAAATCGTAAGTATTCTCTAGTTATAATCACCCCGTGTATTTTCAGTTCTAAAATGTTGTATTTCGGCTGCTAAGAAAGATCGTGACTCAATCTTTACGACCGTTACGACCATATGGAAACAGGCTTAAGCTACAGTTCGCAATATATTTCGCTAATTTGTTATTATTTTCGTTAATTTTATAATTTCACTGCAGTTTTAATTTAAATTCAGCCGTTTAGTGGGCTGCCTATAGCGTAACTATTTTTTTATACAAAGTAAGTACAAGCACGTGTTCCGAAATCTAAAACTGTTCGTGAGTTATTCATTTACTCAGCTATGGCAAAATGCGTCGGATACACGGCGAATTTGCTACAAAATTCTCTGAACCGCTGGCGAAATTCGCCGTTCCCCAACTTAAATCTGAAACACTGCACTATATTGCTAACATTAATAGCGTACTCAAAATCTTTCATTTTTTTCAGGTTTATTAGTTTCGTATCATCAACTGATCAATCAATTGAACAATCATCTACTCAACTGAAGAGTCCTAGATTGGCTGTGAGGAAAAGAGCTATCATTGCTTTAGGTAAGAATATAAACGTAGTGGTGATCATTTAAGAATTAAGTCACAGAGTAGATACATAAAGTATTGCTGCAGATATAGAATCCGGTTCCCAATATAATATTTTTGTTGTGGAAACACCACGTAAATTTATTACTGCAAAGCTTTCGATACGTAAGCCCGGATCTTCATCAGTAGTAAAGCATGCACTAGGGCGTAGTAAAACACGCCCTGGTGCTAATTAGTAGACCTTGCGCTTCAAACTAATTCGTGTCCGTGCGCGCGCTTAATTCGTGCTCATCGCGTGACCGTGAGAGCGTTAAAAACAAAACTCGTGTCCGTGCCTGCACTTGTAATTAGCCAAATTAAGAAATGAACCAAATCACTAAAAATACATTTTTAAAATTAGTAAGTATACAAAATTTGAAGACGTTTACATGAATACCCTTAGAATAATAAGCCTTCAAAAATCGCGATACGGGACGCGTGTCCCCAAAACAGTCTTTTAATAGGTAATTTCACGATTTTCGAAAGCTTATTATTCGAACGGTATTCAAGTAAACGTCTTCAAACTTTGTATACTTAATAATTTTGAGGTGGTCTTTTTAGTGATTTGGTTCATTTCTTAATTTGGGCACTTTTTAACACTCGTCCCCAGTCCACTCATCAACTTCGGACTATATGCAAAATCTTTTAAGGTGGCTTCCTAGGGTTTTTGCATTATATTACACTATAATATTCATGAGACTCCTGTTTCTTTACTTTACATGACATAAAGACGAAATTTATTGCACAATGCTCTCCTGAACATTGCAATTTGCTACTTCTGTGTTGAAAGTTACCATGGCAACAACATGCTTATAATAAAGCTCAAAATTTGTCCGGCCATTTTAAAAATTCCTTTTGGTACATTTTTTTAAAACTTTGCATAAAAGGTAATACTGGTATAATCCTTCAACTTTTAAAAAAATCATTAATACGTGTCTTAGAAAATTTATCACATCCAATTATCACATAGCATACAATATCCAAATATACAATTATAACATCTGACGTGTAAAATAGTCGAAAAAGTTCACGCATTTGTTTCAAAAAAGAGTTCCATATAAAACACAACATTCGTTCATAGATTGAAGTCACATAAGTTACACTGACATTTTACATGTGTACGAAAAACGTAACCCCTGGGGATAAAACGCTGGCGAGCCACCTTAAGTCTGAAATGCCTCGTAGCAAAATTCCGAAATTGAATCAGCACACGACAAAAACTTATGGTAGATGAAAGTTTGTTAAGATATAAAACTTGCGGATATTCACAACCTGAAGCACGATATATTGACAATGACAACAGTTGGACAAACCAACTATAGGCCGTGGGATGAGCATCCAAAAGATGCAATTCCGTTGCACCCCTCGTGGAACTACGTAATTTTCACATGAATAAATAGATAAAAACTTACTTTATCAGAATCCGTTGCTCCCCAAGTGAAACAGGTGCACAATTGGGAGAAAAATCCCTCCAAAGTTTGATATTTCCCGCTTCGAAATATTCGAGCCGCCATTATTTTGGTAGCAAATACGCATGCGCAACTCAGCCAAACTCGCACTGCGCACGCGCTGACTATAAAAATAGATTCTCACTGGGGGGTTTCCCCGATTTCCTCCGCAAAAACAACAAAATAAAATCACGGAATACTGATCAAACCTTGTAATATAAATACACCCACATTAAATATTGTTAAATACACATTGTATATTTTGCTTGCTCATATGCTAAATCACTTTAATTCATTGGCTATTGTTTCAAAATACCGTTTTAACGTTTAATTCTACTTTATATTAACATCCTAATTCAATACAAATTTGTGCGAGGTAAGAAACCCACCTGTATCAAGCAGGACGGAGAATAAAAAATATATATGCATACAATTCACACGATCAAGGAACAAATTAAATATTTCACTAAACTTAAAGCCTTGGCCAAACGTAAGAAACAATGTCGCGGAAATATTCGTGATTTTAAATTGGCTTTGATTGCAGACGCAAAATATGCTTCCCTGAAAGCAAATTATTTCCTACCAAATTCAGATTTCAGAAGCATTTTATGAAACACTCTTTATCCGTTTGCCGACGCTTATAAGACAATATGACATACCGAAAGATTGGAAAGACAAATAATATGACAACAGTGTTTCCCAGTTCGTCCCGGGCTTTAAAGGATATTAATATAAACTCGAAATTCATCATAAGGGGAGGAAATATAAAATTCATTAACATTTACAAAACATTATAGCTATCTATAATTGAAAGAAATGTTTTCATCTTTGAACCCAGATTTTCATCAGAGCAATAAAAT